GGTCGGTGAAATCCACACACATTCTCCATCCTCCGGTATCCTTTTTGACCATGATTGGATTGGACAGCCTGGTGGGGGATTGGATCTCATGGATCATCTTGGTGAGCAAGAACTTGTCAACCTCATCGGATATGGCCTTGCTGCGTTCGTGGCCGAAGTGCCGTCATTTTTGCCTCACAGGGCGGGCCTGTGGATTAACGTTGAGCTGATGGATCATGAGCTCGGGTGGTACTCTGACCACTTCATCAGCGGACCACACGAAGACGTCTCGGTGGCCCTTTATTAAGTAGATCATTTCTTCTTTTAGGGGCGAGGGGAGTCCGGCCCCCACTTGGACCACTTGGTCAGATCTAGCCTCATCCAATACCACTTGCTCCACTTCATCCTCGGGCTCAAGCCTGCTGGGCTCTCCTGTCTTCTGAGAATCGATACTGTCTATGGAGAGGACCGCTGGCCTCTTTTCTTCAGACCTTGATGCGGCTCGGGGAGTGACTGCTGCCTGGATGGTGGCGAGGTAGCATTCCCTGGCGGCGTTCACGTCGCTGCTCATCTCAGCCACACCCGCAGGGGTTAGGAATTTGAAACTCAGGTGGTAGGTGGAGTAGACAGCTCTCAAAGCGTTAAACGTGGGCCAGCCTATCAGCATGTTGTAAGGAGAGTCTGCCCTGACCACCGCAAAGCTGACAGGCACAGTTCGGCAGCGGGGATGACGCCCAATAGTCACCATCAGGGTTACCATGCCCTCCGGGTGGACGACGTGTCCCCCGAAGCCGACAAGGGGAGTTCTGACAGGAGTGAGTTGCTCTCTGGTCAATTTCAAACTTTCGAAAGTTCAGTAGTACAAGACGTCTACCGAGCTTCCGGGGTCAACATAGACCTTTTTGACTATGTAATTATTGGTGAGAACTTCGATCACCAGAGCTTCGTGATTGCTGGAGGCAGCAGGGACAGGATCGCTGGGACCGTAGGTGATCACCTCGGATAGCCGGGAGCTCGGCTCGGCCGCCTCCATGCCGGCCTGGCGGTATGTCCGTTCCGGGAGTTCTGGCTGTCTCTTCCCGTTGGGCCATTCGCGATTGTGTTGATCACTCTGACGATGTTAGGGCCGTAAACCGGTGATCCGTCACGCGGTGGGCGCTGGTTCTCCCTACGATTTTCAGGATCTCGGCAATGAATCTTGGTGTCCCGCCTGTCTTCTCGACGAGGGCCCCGGCTCTCCCGGTGGGAGGCGCTTCGGTTGAGGGCTCCATCCTTGCGGACGAATTGCTTCAAGTATCCTTGGCGGATTAAGTTCTCGATTTCTCGCTTCAAATCGTTGCAGTCTTCAGTCTCGTGCCCGACATCTCGGTGGTAGGCACAATAGAGGTTGGAGTTTCTCATATCTCTCCTCCCCGAAATCTCAGGAGGGGTTCGGCCGAGGTGATTTTTCCTCATCACTACCAAGACGTGAGACCTGCTGGAATTGCGCGGTGTCAGTTCGGCGTCCGAGGTGGACGACCTGCCTTTTACGATCCGATCAAAGACACTCCGGCGGTCTTGGAATTGGTTCAATGAGCCACTTGGGTCTTGTTCACCTCGGCCGGTGTCTTTTTTCCTCCGGGACTCTTGCTCAGTGCGAGCAGCTTGAGGTTCTCGCTTCATGCGATTTAGGTCCTCACTTCGGATTCCTTGATCTACTCGTTCCCAGAGTTCCCGAAGGGTGCGGGGGTAATACCGATGTATCTCAGTATTGAAGATTCCCGCAACCAACCTGTTGGTGAAAGCAGCGATGGTTACCTGGTCATTCTGATCAGGTATCTGCACATTCTCCTCATTGAACCTCTGAACATACGAACGAAGTGACTCGCCGGGACCCTGCTGCAAGTTCAAGAAGTAAGCTGAAATTTTTGTGATTGGACGAGATGATACAAAGCGGTGGATGAACCGATTTATCAACTCGTCCAGGGAGGAAATGCTCATCGGCTCTAAGCCCCAAAACCATTTTCGGGCTGTCCCTTGTAGGAAAATGGGGAAAGCCCGGTAAATCACGGCGTCGGGGACGCAGTAGAGTCGAAATGCAGAGATGAAGGCGCGGAGGTGGTCCTCGGGGTCACTTCGACTGTCGTAGGAGTGCAAGTTTGGGAGCTTAAAATTTGGGGGCACCATTTCCCCATTGATGTCATCAGTGAAGGGCGGAGCCCTCATGTAGTCGGCCGCTAAGCCTCCGTGGCACCGAGGTGGGTCATCGACTCGTTTTCCTAATAGTCCCCGGAAAAATGCTCGGGAGATAGAGGCAATTTTGGAGGTTGCCTTGGTAGAGGCACGCCTGAAAGTACTCCGAGAGAGTCCCCCCTCATCAGAGTTCTCACCTGAAGGTACTTCAGGGGATTTCGTCGATCTCCTCTTGGAGGACTCGTCTTTTTCTTTCCCCTGCCTTTTAAAAGTACCTCCCTAGTTCCTCGAAAATGTTGGGGTTGTCTGCTACGAACTCAATCATCTTGGCGATGGCGTCCTCGTTGTTGGGCTGGATTCTTGGGGACCCTCATTCTTCAGAGATGCGATCTTGTTGGGCTCCCGAGGTTTGCCCAGCCCCGGTTGAGGGAACTCTTCCGGTTCTGGAACGTGTGGATCTCATTATAGCAGTAATCTCGTTCCCACAGACGGCGCCAATTGAAGAGGTGATTTTTGGAGGGTAGATAGACCGACCTAAATCAGTCCTCTCTGAGACGAGGTGGTGTATCTTTGTTTGTCCGAAGTGGATGGCGGGGCTTCTCTCCTGGGATCACTCCGACGATCAAGTTAATATGAGAATGAGAAAAATAGTAGTATGAATGAGTGAACAGTATGCTTACTTGTTGGGAATGCATGGGGAGTCTTTATAGAGTGAGAGTGAAAGATAGGACGGGGGGACTCATGCTGGTGGGACCCACATCCTGGCATTACGGCTCTGTTCCCTGTCAGGAAGTCTGACTCTGACACTGTAGCCGCCTGGGCAGGATGACGGGGATCCTTACGTAGTAGACATTAAATGCATCCGGTACTTTTCAGCTAAAGCACTGGCCCTGGGTGATGTCAGATGTGTTGACATCAGCAACGTGCAGCTGAGGTGGAAGCCTGATGAGTAGAGGCCGCCTACGCGGTAGACTAGGGATCCGGCCGAGTTCAGGGGTCATGCTCAGGACATGACTATGCTCGTATAAGAGACGAGATGCGTTCACCTCGACCGTGCGGGGATGGCCGAGGTGAGCATCCTCACATTTCATTGAACCGAACACAAACACCTAATAGAAGCTAAGCGGTGAAGTGTGGAAGTTAGCTGAATTTGGGGCGGTGAGTGAAGATAAAAAAAAAACAATGGAAACAGCTACTAAAGCTGCTAGTAGAAGCGGTGCATTGAGAAATGAATAAAGGTCGGTTTAGGCAGTAGAACCGAGGGAATGCGCCTTATAACCTCCTGTCTACCACTTCCCACCAAAAAGAAGTAATCCGAGCTTTCCTAAACACTAAGGCCGAGAGATAAACAAGAGAGAGAGCTAAGGGGGTGGAGGAAAATTGTCTTCCTGAGGGAAAGATTTGAGAAAGAGGGAAAACAAAGCTTCTGCTTCTACTTCAACCAAGAGAGGAAACTAGAGTCCAGCTCCATTTGCAGCCAAAAAGATACCAGAAATTCTCATTGTTTTCCAGCCGAGGAGAAGGATGAGGGGTGAACTGATCTACGCTTGAAGTGTCGGGTAGAAAAGACCAGATAATATAGCTAAAACACCATCACCTTCTACGTATATATTCTAGACGAATTCTGATGCATGGAAGAGTTGAGGTTGGACCGAAGTAAAGCTAGGTAGTAAAGCTAGTTTCTTTCCTAGAAACTTATCAGCTTGGACCGAAGTAGTGTAAAGGCAGTTCCTTTCAATTTTCTTGCCTGATCAAGTGTAAATGAACTAAACTCAGGAAGTATGTTAGCATGTTCACTATCTGGAGTTGCATGTGAAATTTAGAGTGGGCAAAAAATCTGCTTTTAATGGCTGGAACTTGGGTAGTAAACCGCACCACTGTTAAAATACTTTCTAGCTTAACCGATGGAATTCTTGGTATAAAGTTGCTGGAAAACGTTGATGGACACTTATTGTTTGTTGTACATCAGGTTTGCAGGCTGATGCAGGCTGCTATGCATCAGGTTTTGCAGCTTGACGCAGACCTGAGTTTCATTCAACTCTCTTCCTAAACATTTAGGTTCATTGACTCCATCTAAATATTTAGGATCTATGTAATTCTTAATCGACATCCAACTCCTATCCATGTTTATGCAGCCCTTTATCCCAACATCAAGAATAAGAACATGTAATATTATACCGAAGACAGAGCACTATGTATGGAAACTTAAATTTGCCAAATACCAACAATGAAAACCCAATCAAATAAAACACATTTTCACTAAAGTCTATGTCAGGAACAAATAACAACAATTCATTAAAAACAAGATAGATTATGTACCATTACAAAAGATGCAAAAGAAAGCTCCAATTAATTTAAGCCATTCCTAAAATTATACATCTTAAACTATACAACATCAAATCCCAAGTCTGGAAAAGAATAACCGAAGCAGATTTCTAGTCGTGAACAATCCCTCCATATGACACATACCCAGCCTACTCAATCATATTCAATTTGAGGATGAAAAAAACTGGGTCAAATCAAGCACATAACATCCCATCTATTCCTGTTCTGCGTACCCATACAAAAGCTCAAATTAGCTTGTTAGATAAACTAAACCAACCCCAAAAACTAGTAGCAAAACACATCTAATTTAATGTTTTCTAAGTTTGTTGGATAGGTTTGTCTAATGAGGGAAAGAAGCAGAAAGTGTGATCAACATTTTACACTACCAACGACAACAACCAGAATGGGGTCCTTTAACCACAATATAGCAAGTTGTCACAATTTAGAAGATTATTAATATAAATAATGAAACATGACATGAGATATATTAAGTTGTAATGCAGTTACAAGTAGATCTTACAAACCATTTCCATTGTCATGAAGATCCTTGCTCTCATTAGGTGTATTATTTCCACCAACGGACTGGTTAGATACAACCTGCTGCAGTGGGAGGCTTATATGTTTGCATCTCAACAGATGTAGGAGATGCCAATCCATCCCTTGATGATGCTGCAGCAATTTTTTGACTAGCTGATGCAGCATGAACCCATATATTCTAGCCATGTATACAAAGACATAATCAGTATAAGTAGCTAAATGACAACCTCCTACTGAGACACCGAACCCAAGTCAGCAGCTTCAAGCATAGAAAAAAAAATACAAATCATAGGACAAACAATTTAAGGTTTTGGAGTCTAATTCACATCAAATTGTACATATGTAGATGGATCTAATAAGGCCTGAAACTATGAATTTAAATAGAACATTATAACTCAAAAGTTAAAGGATAGTCAAGCATAGTCGTTACAATCAAGCATAGTCAAGTGTAATATGTGTTTCAGCTAATTAGTGGTAAATGATTTTTAACAACCAGGGATGACTATGTTCCAGAGATCATTTTAGCTAATCAAAAGTAATCTATGCTCCAAAGATGACTTTTAACAAGCAAAAAATACAACAGTAAGCCAGTAACAGGATTAAATGAGACAAAATAGACCATACAAGATGCTGGACAGATTGCAGAATACTTGAACAAAACATTTGACCTTCTTTGGGAGCATTTCTACTTGCAAAATTTGAAGTGTCTTATTCTTTAAAATTCTCTTATTTCCCTCTTCCAACATCTATAACTAAATTCGTAATCCTTCCACTAAATTTTATAAACCACAAACCTGCAAAACACCTTTCTCTCTATATCAAAAAAATCCTCCCAAAAGGTATCCCCTAAACAAAAAACAAACTCAAATCAAACACCTGGTGGACTAAACATAACGCCAGAAATGCTGGCCAACTACTCACCAATGTGTCGATTCTTGGGCTTACGGTAATTTTCTTCAATGTGGTTGATAATTACCAAACTAGTAGTCCGGAGCTTTAGAACAATGGGGACGTTGTAGTTTTGGGCTAAATATACCCCAAAAACATACCTACCAAGAATGAAAAACAGTCCTAATTAATCCCATTCCTGTATTTTTTTTTTAAGTTCTTAGTGTCTATGGGCTTTTCGGTAATCTAGAGAATTGAGGATGGAAGCTCTAATACATGGAAGAATTAATGCAACGGAGAAGGAGATTATTGCACCCACAACTTAAATCTTTCTATGAGATTATTGAACCCACAACTCAAACAATCTAAAAGAAAAAAAATTAGGGCAATGTAATTGGGGGAAAAATAAGAAAAACAAAGAGAGATATGAGAGGACTTACCATAGAGTTAGGGGAGAATGAATCGATTTCAGCTTGGGGAATCCATATTTGGTCGAGAGTTTATGGAAAATGGAGGGTGTTTTCTCTTCTTTGAGGGATGTGAGATAGAAAAGTGAAGAGTCAGAGTGGGGAGTTTGGGAAAAGGAACGGTGGCTTGTATCTCTCTGGAGAGTACTATGAGTTAAAGAGTGCTTCTTTCTCCCAATTTTCAACAAAAGAGTCCCCGCCAACGTTTTTACTATTTTGTCGTCACAAAATTTCGGTACTAGTTAATTCAATCAATTTTATAACTTTAACTTTTATTTGAATTTACTAACATATTAAATTTTTTGAAAATAATTTACTAATGTATTATTAACCATTTGTTGTTAACCATACTGTCTCAAAAATTATTAACCATACTGTGTCAAAATTGTAATTGGTAGAAATTTTAAATAGAGCATATTCAATTAACAAACCACATTTTAAATAGCGCATATTCAAGTAACATTCAATACAAAACTTCACTATTTATCCATTATCTTCAAATAAGAAAAAAAATGCACAATTAAACTAATACATAAAGTGTATTAGGTAATTAAGTATGGAGTTTAGGATTTATCCACTACGATAGCTAGTTCAATTTGAAAACTCTTATTTATATTCATATCAAATTAACTAATAATCATTCTAAGTTAAGTAGTCATAAGTTTATTTACACTAATGAATTTTTTATTTTTTAATTATTTTTATTCTAATGAAATTATTATATATACAAGGCAATTAAACTAATAAGGAGGCTCATAAGTATATAACAGTTAAAAACCATTAGAGAACACATAATGATTACAAAAAATTAGGAGTAATAGTTGCAAAAAGCAATCAATATTTTAAATCAAACAGTGACAAGACTAGGTTGTCACTAACGGCTATACAATGTTATCAGTGACAACAACTGCAAAGTTGTCAAAGAAAGTGCTATTAATACTGACAACTTTTAGAAAGTTGTCACTGTTGCAGTTCCTGCTCTCTTCATGGCTCCTGGCGGGAATCGAATTGTGACGACAATGCAAGGTCGTCACTGATGTGTTGGCTTCCTTGACTCAATTGTGACAACTTTCTGTATTGTGGTTAAAGGACCCCATTCTGTGACAATTTTTTTTCGTCGCTGAGAAATGTTGTCACTAATGACCAAATTTCTTGTAGTGACACTAATTTTAGTCGGCCAATTCACATTGTCAAATTTTACCATGGCATTGTGATGTCATTAATTAGTCTATAATGAGATGTTCACACTTCGTGGTCCGTTTGGATGGTATGATTTTTAGATTGTTTGTCTTAAAATTTTACGATAACTCATAATAGTTGTCTTAAAAAAATGATGACATTTATTTTCTCCGCCACCGATATCCTATCTAATGCACTTTCATTTTGGTGTTTCTCAATAGCTTAGAGGTTTTTATCACTGTAGATGGTATTTTACACAAATTTTGTTTCTTTAAATAAGGCCACAAATAGGACACCGGTATAGAGCCTCAAATAGGGGTGGCAATTCGGGTCCAAATCAGGTTGGCGGGTTGGGTCTGACCCGACCCTTCAGAAAATTTGTTGACCCGAACCCGACCCGCCAATCTGTGACGGGTCAGATATACTGACCTGAACCCGAAAATTTCAGGTTGGCGGGTTGGCGGGTCGACCCGAAATAACCCGAAATTTAATTTTAATTTATTAATTTATCACTGTAATTTCTAATAAAATTAATTTCTCACAAAACTAATTACATAATCAAGTAATAAAAATTTAAATAAATAATTCCAAACCAAATCTAAAATAAATTAAACACCGTAAAAGTGTTTTATCCCAAACAAAATAAAAAATAAATTAAAACAGTATAAAAGTAAAAAATAATATAATATATTATTTGTCCAAATATAATAATTTCAACTTCACACAAATTAAATAAATTCATTTAGGATTAAGTAATTAATGCCTTTGAAAAAAAGAATAACTTAGTTTAGTTAGATAAAATTATTTTTATGTTTATTAAATTATTTTTAATTCGTAAACGGGTCATATCGGGTCACCACGGGTTGACCCGAAATCGACCTGTTTTCTTTTCGGGTTCAACCCAATTCTGACCCGAATTTCCGAAATCTCAACCCAAACCCATTAATTTCGTGTTAGATTCGTGTCGTGTTTTCAGGTCGTGTCGAAAATTGTCACCTTTAGCCTCAAATATCTATAATAAGTACTTCCAGCGGTTCAAGTTGCTTGTCTGAAAGTTTGGGGATGAAATGTGCCCCCATCTCAAAATTTAGGGATGGAAAGTGGATTTTTCTCCAAAAACACTACTAAACCACACGTTTCCTATCCTTGCATAGAAGGCCTCCTATCAACTTCCATCTCTATCTTTTGATGATTCAACTAACTCATAATTTTGACTTCAATTCCCCAATATATGGGGCCATTATGCTCTCTTTTATCCCTAATCTTTTTGTCATAATTTTAAAACTTCTATTTTTCATTCTATTCCTTTCAAAACGAATATTGGGAATGCCTACAAAACCGAGTGAAAATATTGTGTTCTAAATTGCTAATCGATATAGGAAAATACATGAACAGGGAAAATAATAAATTGCTCCAAACCAAATTATCTTTCTAAAAACTATTCGCTAGGTTTAAAAGCAAGTTATGCTTTCTCACAAATTAATTTCTTTCCAACTTATCAAATCACACATTTAACTTTTCATCACTCTTCTCATATAGAACTAGTGATTTTAGTTAGCGTCATATGATTGCACACTATCTTTTTCAAGTTTTCAATACAAGTGAAAATCAAAAGAATAAAGAAACTTCAAATTAAATGGATCAACTTTTATGAGATAAAAAAGTTTGCTCATGATTTCATTTGATTTTTACTAATTCATAAAAGTCCCATCCCGAATTGGTATGTTAGAGCATATTTTGTTTATTAAGATCACGATTTCACACTTAATATTCTTGAGGGGAGAATAAAAATATTTGTCATGAGAAAAAAGAAAGAAAGATGATAACTTGGAGGTTCAAAACAAAAATGTTTGAAATTATCATGACAAGATGACAAGAAGCTTAGTGTAATTGGACCGCTAATTTTAGCATCCTTTATTAAACTGTGTTAAAATATCTTTTATTAAAATCCCTGCGTTCTTTTAAAAAAAAAAAAGAAAAAGAAAGAAATTGACTACAATAAAAGTCCTTTATATCGCAATACATAAGCCGGAAACGTCAGAACTCTATCGACAATCTATTTCTTCATTACGGATATTAAGCACGTCGTCTAAACTAGCGTTTTGAGTTGTCGATTACTTTATCGCGGTAGACATCCACCTATGTCAGATTTGGTGAAGTGGAAGAAACATATATGTTTAGATTTTCTTTTATTTTTTTACTTGGTGGTAACGGTATCAAAAAGCCGCTATGTTGGAATATTTTATTTGTCTCTCCTGGAAAATAGGTATCACCAAAAAAAATATTTTAAATTCAATTCCTCTTCTGTTTTTGTAATTTAGTTCTATGGGTCTGTTATAAAAATTTTAGATTTGTTTAGGGTTAACACTTTGCTCGTCTAGACTTTGGAGATAATCATATTTTACCACTCTCAATCTTCAAAATATACACTTTACGCCCCATAAAAACTAGTCAAAGTTAGAAATGCATAGAAAGTGTGTACAATGATGTAGTTGCCTTTTAATATATGATTATTTATAACTTAATAGTATTTCCTTTCTATTGCTAACAACACACATTTTTCTCCATGCTATCTACTATACAAAAATCTCCAATTGATGAAAGGTTAAAAAAAAAACAAATGTTTTCATTTTGTTTATTATCCTTAAAATGTTTTCTATTGGATTAACAGTCACTTTAATATATACTTTGTTTAATTTACCAGACTTTGAATCAAACAATAAGGATAATAACAAAGTAATAACAGCAAAATGATATAGCAAAATTTTCAAAAAATCAACTAATATTAAACTTGTATTCTTAAAAAATAGTTTTTATTACACTACCATTACTCTTGTATGTCAAATTGTTAAATATGAAATACTTAACCAAAATTGTTAAGAAAAAGGTTGATTGATATGCCTTGTTTTTAAACTTAGAAGAGAAAAATAGAGATTATATAAGGTCATTAAATTTTGAACCCACCATAAAACCTTCGGAATAAAAATTGGGAAGCTAAGTAGATAACCAATTGGTTAAATGAATTCGTCCTAATAGTTTAGGCTATCACTTGGGGGTATTAATACATTTAAAACACACACCACACGGGAACCACAGAAAATGAGCATGCTTTTAAAGGGAAGGTTAGGTGAAGAGGAAGAAACTTGCATCTTAAGACTTTTTTTTTTTTTTTGTATGGTCCTGGTGGTATCAGTATCAAAACGTCACTGTCACGATATTTTAACTGTCTCTCCTGGAAAATGGGTATCTCTACAAAAGATTTAATTTCAATTCTTTTTTTTTCCGCAATGTAATTCTATAGATCCATTATAAGAATTGGAGAACTATTTAGGGGTACCACCTTGCCTCTCTAGAGCTTGGGATAATCACGCTTTACTACTCTCAATTTTCAAAATATGCACTTTATCCGCAAGGAAAAAAACAAGGTATACATTTTATTTACTATTATCTTTAAAACTTTTCCTATTGGATTAGTGTTCACCTTAATGTATAATTTGTTTAATTTATTGGACTTTAAATCAAACAATATGTATAATAGCAACATAATAATAATAAATTGCTTCAAATCCCCCTTCTCCCGCACTTTTAAAATTCCACCCTTTCCCTACAGGAAAAAAATAACATTAAATTTAGTTAGAAAAATTTTCAAAAGATAAGGTAATATTAAACTTATTATTCTTTAAAAAAATAATTATATTATATTATTATTATTATTATTATTCTTGGTTGTTAAATTGGTAAAATATTAAATACTTAACCAAAATTATTTTAAAAAAAAGGCTGTTATGCCTTATTTTTAAACTTAGAAGAGAAAAATACGACAATGAAGTAAAATTTAGTTGGAATGACGCTTCACCTGTAACT